CAAGTATATGTGTGTGTGTGTGTGACCCTCCCCTGTCCCGCTGGTAGGAAGCCGAACGGGCAGATAACAAGTACCCGCCCCATGGCTAGGTACCTGCCAGCTACCACTTACGACCCTTACAGGTCGAGGCCGAAAATGAATTAGATAGAACACTCAAACACACAATCACAGACATGCATTCACTTGGAAACATTCGTTTACCTTGAACTTCAAGAGCGTAGCCTTGACGTCCACCCTGGGATGGATATACTGGAAGGGAGAGTTAAGGACTTTTAGCACGCATGGAATGCAGTTTCTCAGACGGAAGCCATTTTTTACCATGGTAGAGACAACCTCAAAAATCTCTCTTGCCGCAGTCTCCKGTTCTRAAMAAARTACCATAATCAAGGCTACCTCTGATATTATTATATTCAGAGACTGCTGAGTGTGCCTGTTGCAAGCAAACTTCACGTATTTGACGATTGGAAATTGGAACACTCGTCTTTTGTCGAATTTAGCAGTAACAAATTCACCCGTTTGCTCCGAGAGTACCGTGATTTCCGAATTGGGAAATTGAGTTTTTAGGCCATAGATATTCCCCTCATTATCCTCAGTAAACACATCCGTTTTATTTTTTATCTCAATTAAATGCAGCGGATACAGGGGAAAGACATTGCTAGCGTCCCGTGGCAGAGCAGGGTCTAAAAACTTCAAGATGGAGGGGTTATTGAGGGAGTGCAAATCATCGATATACCTGTATGTATATTTGAAGAGCGGGAGGAGATAATAGGCTCTGTTGTGAACAATACGCATAACAAGTGAGAATTCATACTTAAAGAAATAGATGATGCACAGAGAGGGGGAGCAAGGTAGGCCCATGGGTATGCCTTGTATCTGCTTCTTGATTCGCCCTCCCATCATGTGTAGCTCCTCTATGAATCCAAGAAATTAGTTTAGTGATATTCTCCTTTTTAAAAAAAAAAGAGGAGGACGAGCTCTGTCCGCAGCCACTACTCATTGCACATACCACCTCACCATTTGTCCTGACCCTGCATTTAAGGACCTTACCTAGATTCTTCCTCTCAACATATTTTCACGCAAGGTCAAGAAAAAAAGTGCTAGATGCAGGGAACCCATCCTCTTCCGAGCCAATTGGGATTGTCTCAAAGCAGCGAGATATATCCACCGAAAATACCTTGTAGACCTTCTCTGGAACATTGTGGCAGTAATCTTGGACAAAGTCAATGGCCCACCATATAGAAGTGCCCACGCTATGAAAAACCCGGAGATTGTCAGTGATCTCCTTGCATCTAGCTTTGACCAAGGGGATGAGGCATTTGATTGCCGCATTGCAAAATGAAGCGAGGGGCGTCAGAAAGGTCGCAGCGGCATTACTAGTAAGCCATTTGAACGAAGTTTTGTGTTGTTTATATAGTGCCATTAGGTAGGGCATTTTGGTGGGGCCAATGGCGAGACCCGGGGAGATGGCGGTGAGCGAGGCGGAAGCCTCACCATAAATCTCTAGCGAGATACATTCAACCGTTTTAAAGTCCTGGCTATTGAGTTTCTCCAAAGTCAACCTTTTGATAAGGTGGACACATACAAAAGACATGGTGTTGCTAAAGTTTTCCGTTCCAGCAGTATAAAATCTTCTCAACAAAAAATTCACTTCCTGCTTTACAGCGTGCATATTTGGCGGGCATGGGGGATCGGAATGGTTCCGGACACCTAGATTCGACAACTGCCATCTAACCTAGTTAGACACAAACGGTGACGCCTGCTTTAATCCTGCTAGGGGAACGAACGTCCTCCTCTTTACGAACTGAATGATGACCTGCCAGGCATTTAGAAAGTTGTGAAAGGCAATAGACGAATTGTGGGGCTGCAGAGGAATGTGATTTCGTCCGCTTTATAACAAGTTTCTAAGTGATGTGTTCTGGACGAGGTTTGGATTCAGAGTTAACACTTGAGTAGAGGGATTCGTGCAGGGCTAAAACACATATCCAACGTCTGCGGGAGGTCGAACCTTACGAATCTCTCCGCAGCACAAGTGCAAAGCACAGACTCGGCACATGTATTCAACCATTCTTCGAGAATGAAATCTCTAAACACCAGAGAAGGTCTCTACACAATTGATTCGAATGATTGATCGTTTGTCCATCCAATAACAATTGTCGAAAGCAGGATAATAGATGTTGGCGGAAAGAAGGCCTCAAATGCTTTCTCCATAATCGATCTAAAATTCACAGATTCCATGGCCCTGCTCGAATATTTGACATGGACGTACAGATCAGCCTTTGGTTACTTAGGACTCACCCATCTTTTCCGACCCGCTTCATCAGTTGTCATGCATCCTTCATTTACCTGAAAACATAAATACAGAAAAAGACGCGCATACATCTTAAGTGGTTAGCGAACCTTGTTTTAGGCTACGAATAACGAGGCTTTTGCTTTCGATCTGGGGCTCCTCCTGAGGTGCCTCCTCCCCGTCGATTTACAGCTGCTGGTCGCAACCGTCACAGTTGAGGAAGAGGGAGTTTCATCCATCGCCATCGGACCATTAGGAGACTTCGGAGATGCAATGAGGGCTTTATTCGGAGCTTCATCATCCTGCTGGCCGTCGACAGGGCAAGCTCCTCTGCTGGTCTGACGTAGTACGAGAGGATGGTGTTGTTCTGTCTCTTGGGGGGGTGGGCATCCTCATTAGCCCTACTCTGGTTTCTAGCCCTCTTACTACGACTCCTAAAGTACCTATCCGGGAGGATGAGGCTGGCCATTCTTCTGGGAAATTTCTTGGCCATGAGGACCTGGTCATCAATGATGGTCTCCAGTCTTCTAGCCGGGTTCTCGATAACGCTATGCGCCATCTTTTGCATGATGTGTCTTATTTCAGAGAACACAACAGAGGCCAAGATCGGAGCCCTCCAGGTAGTCCTGAGAAAATTTCTCAAAACCTTCATTCTGGCGAGGAGCGTGGGAGCTGCAGGGAAGAGGTAATCCGGATTTGCGAGGATATACCAGAGTGCATGGTCAAACCACGTGATGGAGGTTTTGCAAGCGGGCAACCCCTTCTCAAAGCATCTACACTTAAGAAAGGGATCCAAATTCTTTTTAACTCTGTTAGGGGCTTAGACCCATTAGGAGCACAGAAGCTTCTAATGGGCAGGTGTAAAAAAGTCGCCGTGCATGTCAGTGGATCAAAATGTCCAACCACAGGGAGCTTCATGGCGTCGTCCATCAAAGGATATGATCCCTTCACTAGGTCCGTGTTGGCTCCAAGAGCCTTCTTCTCACACAAGTCAATTTCTGCTTTTGTGAGCGAGGCGAGGAGTCTGTAGGCATTGATACTAATGGGGCACTGTGGTTAAAGGTGTCAAGATCCCGTATCTTATCAGTGCATCTCATCGCCTCACCCTCAATCCATCTAGACGGAGCGATGGGGAGAAACACATTACGATAAAACTTATTAACCCCTTTGCCCTTCTCCTTCACAAGATTTATTGCAAGCTCAGCCTTAGACTCCGATATCGCCTGCTGGAAATACAGTTTTTCCTCCTCGGTGAGGGGCATACCCTCCTCGTCCTCCGACTCCGACTCACGCATCCCCTCAATCGGGATCTGGACAAGTCCAGTATGAAAGGGAGACTTTGCACCCCAGAGATCAACGAACACCCCTTTCTTCATTGCTATCTCATCCCTAATCGAAGCTTGGACCAGCTTATCGTTTTCCAGCTCATCCTTCGCATTCATGACTAAATCCTTAGAGAAATAAGGAAACATAGCCTTGTTGTGTGACGCTACCCAAAGGATGTCAGCCCGGTCATTGAAAGCAAGAGAAGTGATTAGCGGAGGGTTGGGACGGAGGGCGCGTAGTGAATTGACCCTGACAAATTTCATAATTCTGGGGTTTGCCAGTGCAATCAACGCTTGGGTGGGTCGGGATGGGGCCGGGAAACGATCTAACCATGAGCGATTTCCCTTGATAAGATTAGCATACCACCCATTTCGTGTAAAGGCTGGTTTCTGCAAACATGATAGAGGAGACACATAAAGAGAACAAAAAAATATTTCTTATAGGAATACATAACTGCTATGCTGCTTTCCAGTAAAGTCCCCTCAACTCGGCAAACTAGGATCACAAAGAGATTACATAGTCTCGACAAGTTGGATTCAACCCCCTTGATGGTAAGAGGGTGGGAACAGGGTCCCCCGTATGTGTGTGTGTGGTTATATAGTAAATGGCCACCGCGACATGTCGCAGCGAGTCATGGATCATCCACATGTGATACCGATATGCAGAAAGAGCAGGGAACAAAACATCGAGCGACAAAGATCCGTATCCACGAAAGAAAGTTACTTAGTGCCAAATAACAAACCCAATTCATTCAAAAATATCCCTTAGAATTCCTGCATTCCCAGCAGGCCCAGCCTAAAAGGACGAAAGAAATAGATGTCTTTTGATGATCCATCAAAGAACTGGTACATGATCAAAACAAGATGTGTTACAGATTAAATTTTGAGAGGCAAGTAGTGAAGGGAAAGGAAGAGGGATTTCGCATTACACATACAAGTGAAATCAGATACGAGCTCAGTTCCTTATGAAAAACGAAGACCCCACAGGCGGACCAAAAAAAAAAAAATTAATTCGAAAAAAAAAAAGGGGGCGTTGCCAATTGAACAAGATCAAAGAAGATTGGTTCGATCCGAAAAAAAAAAACAGAGCCACCGCCCTATCCTATGCAAATGGCTTGAACAGGACAAAATAATGACTCACTCATTCACCCATTCAGGTATACATTTACGCGTGAAAAACCCATTACGTTATTTTGGCTCATATGCAACAATATCAGCCTGCTCCATTTCAAACATGTGCATAGGAAAGCAAGCATTAGTTAGCTAACGTGCCAACAAACCAATGGACTAGCAATCCCTACTTCAAACGTACACCTTACACGAATACCAATCATCGATTATCCAACGCCAGCCATGGTTGCAACTCCGATCGCAACCGCCTACACACTTCCAACCCACTTTCTGTAAAACATGGGTATACACAAGGACCCCATCCCCTTAACAGGAGGAAGCGATAGTGTCTCGATCTGCACGGGCGTCCGATAGATGTTCGACCAAAATGTTTAAACGCATCGTTCTACCGCCCATGATCAAAGTGGTATTCAAGGCGTCTCGTCATGATTCAAAAAATAAAATTTGCTCAGCGACGCAGTACTCCTTCGTAGCCCTACTTCACTTCAGCCCCGAATCTTCAAACCCATCGACAGACCGTCGAACTACAGTTCCATCGTACATATATCTCCTTTGTACCTTCACCACCGGCAACACTCAATTACCCATTCCATGCATGTACATGACGACGTTTATTAACAACTCTCCAAACATAGGTAAAGATCCTCATGACGAGAATCAGAGGGACTATTAACTTCACCGGTTGCGAAAAAAACATCAGCCGCATACTGGTCTTGGCCATGCACAAACTCGAGCCACCCAGACTGATAAAGCATGGTAATCGTGGAAATCGCGGCACAAAAAGCGCTATCCAGCATACAAAGAACCAAATTGAAGAAAGAGATAGCAATGAATGCAGTCACCTTCGAACAACTATGCAAAGCACTTCTGCTTAGTCGGCAACGTGTAGTTCCAAGTGCATACTACACATGTGCAGCATGAGCGATTATGAGCAGAATCCAGGAACATGAAGAAGGGCAAAGTGGCGAGAAACGCTTGGCATCCTTCCCCCCCTTCCCCCCCTTCCTTGATACTATGCTACCCTCCTCGTATGTGACGTTCTCCCCCACCCGGCTACACAGTCCCTTGTCCCTTTTTTCCGTCTCCATATTCTCTGCTTCAACATGGCATGGCTAGACTTCAACAATATTGAAGTCTACTGCCTAAGTACGAGGACAATCCCCGCCTGTGATCGCCACGAGGAGTTTCGCACGGCCCTCTTGTGCACTCTTAGCACCCTCTACCCTAACTACCTCGCCTTCGCCCCCAATCGCAATTGCCGCTTTCCCCTCATCCATCGATTGGTGTGATATGCGAATATCTCCACAGGGGTGCGATGGCTGGTCCACTCCCTCCCTCCACTTTCCCAATCCCATCCTCCGCCTCCACCCCCCGTACTAAGAGTGCTATATCCGCCCAGGTAGCAGCAATGACAAAGACAACTGCAAAGCGGAAATGAGAAAGTGACAAAGATGGAGGATTAGGAAAATGCGAAGCCACCCGCGTATCGGCATCTCGGTCGTCGTCTTCCTCTTCCTCTTCTCCTTCCTGTCTCTCCTTTCCTTATCCAGTCTCCATGGACACGATGCACGCAAACAGGAGCATGCATAAGATTGAAACCCCCTGGGCGTCACACATGTGACTAACTATCTTCTGATTTGTGCGATTTTCTGCGCGCTTGTACTTTGGGGGTTGAGTGGAGGGGCGTGATCCAATTATACAAGTGCCCCTATCCTTTTCTTTTTTTTCTCTTTGTTTTGTGAAAACTTGGTCTCATGGCGGTTGGTAGTAAGGATGCGCCTTAGCGAGCGTTATTTGGTAGTAAGGACGCGCCTTAGCCAGCGCACAAATAATGGTTGATGCGGCTTCTTTCTTTCTCTTTTGGGAACGGGGAAGGGAACTTCGACGCTGTCATCATGCAGGAATGTTTTTTGAATCTTTGAACGCTGGGGGGGGAAATACCGGAGCCATCAGAATTAGAACGTTAATTTGATATGGATTTTGGGGTCATTATAATTTCTTTTTGGTAACTGCACAGTGCTCCGTACTCGCACGCGTTCTTTTATCCTGCATCCCACACTCTACTCCAGCCGCGCCTTAATTCTAATCTCAACTATAATCTTTTCCTACTCCTCCCTTTATGAGTGCGGGTGTAACAGTGATCTTATCGCCCCTAGTTTCTCGTCGCGCCGAAACATTCAACCCCTCTCCCTTCGTCTCATTGGCCACAACGGTGCATGACTGGATCAATAAGTGGAGAGTGACTACGTCCCCCATGCCGCGGCTCAGGCATGGCGACCATAGGCGCTTCCTTCTCTCTTCTTTTCGTCTGCCTCATCATAATCCCAACTATCTCACGTTGATGCTAATAGCTATAAATTTTGCAAGCGCGACAACATCGGTCTCTAACAAAATTTGGAATGGTTAGCTCGATTGAGAGAATCGGCTAACAAGTAGGAGACAATAATGAGGTGAGTTCGAAGTTGAGTGATCTGACGAGCTGGCTGCGAGTGTGTGAGGGGTTGATGTGTGACCACAACAGACTGTGGACTATGGGCGAGTCCAGGGTGCATACTCGCGCTAAGCGAGGTGACAACTTTGGGTTGCTGGTACGTGCGAGGCGACGAGATGCCTACACGGAAATGAGAAGGGGGATGATGGGGAGAGAGAGAGAGAGAGAGAGAGAGAGAGAGAGAGAGAGAGAGAGAGAGAGAGAGAGCATGGGTTGTTAGCATGTATGATACTTCCTTTCTTGTCCCTCTCGGAAATTTTGCATTCAAAACTCGTTGTTCCCATTTTGTAATTAAAGATGGATACTTAATTGTGTAAATCCTGTTCTTGCTTCGGAGCACCTCTCACATTTCTTTCCTTATTTGAAGTGTTGTTGGATATGTTGATTGTGGTTTCGATCACCGTTTCTGTAATCTTGACTGCTTGTATCTTTGTGCACCCACCCCATAATTATGATTGAAGATCTTGAATGCTTGTCCGAGATCGGTCTGTTGAAATAAACTTGAAAGGGATGAAATATTGGTCATTTTCGTTTAATATCTGTTGAAGGGAACTCATGCAAACTCCTGCATGAGCTACGACTTGCCGACAACACGGCTTGTAATGTATACACCCGATCGCATAATCCTTTTTCCGACGGGTCCACTATTACCAAATCTGCATGAGTAGGAAGGCCCGTCGTGAATACGAGCCCGTTGCATTGAAATCTGACGACTACTCTTGCACATACCGACTGCTGAGGCTTTGCTGGTGCTAACAACCGGTTGCGCCGACAACTCAGAACGCCCCTTTTTCTCCCGAACCATTTTCACCCTCGTCCTTAGAACAATAATACCGAAGATACCAGTTCGGACCAGAGACGCCGCCCCTTTTGCCTAAAATCCTTGGGACACCCCCCTTTYCRCTACTTCGAGACCCACTATCCACCCTRATCAGGAAGTCGCGCAGGGCGTGAGGTTGGGCGTCACAGGGCAGGGTGGTTGACGAAGTACGGAGGCCTGCTTTGGGAGCTCTGGATCCAGGTACATCTAGTATTYTGAGGTGATTCCACAGGCGGAGTCRGCGGTGTTGGTGAACCGCGGTCCTGGTCTTGACACCTTCAGATTGTGGATCCAAATTGTGTAACACGCCGTACATTGTACGAAGTACGACCGTACTGAGTCTACAGACGGTCGTATGACCATATGAACGGTCTCGTACAAAATAACGAACCMCCCCCCCCCAAAAAAAAAAAATGAAAAAAAAAAAAAACAAAAAAATGGGGATGTAGAGTTTTTCGTGCTCTAGAGCCTCACATTCTTTATTTTATTCTCTGGTCTTTTTTATATTAAAATAATAAAAATCATCACAACAGGAAAAAAAAACGAAAATAAAGAAATAAAAAACGATTGATTGATTGATTGTCGATTGAATGATTGATTGATTGATTCAAAAAAAAAACAACCTCGGACGTAGGCGAGCACGCGAGAGAGAGAGAGAAAGAGAGAGAGAGAGAGAGAGAGAGAGAGAGAGAGAGAGAGAGAGAGAGAGAGAGCAAGAGTATGTTTGTGTGTGTTGGATGTGTCGTAAAACACATGTACGTTTATTTCCAACGCATATTGAATGCACTCCGTACTACCATTCGAACTGTCACGGGAGGGCATATGGCGACCATAGCTCTTGGCACTCCGGCCATATCATTTTAGTATTGCAAACCCAACACACACTCCTTATGATTCA